CTCTTCCAATCCAGCTCTCAGCTATGGCCTGGGAAAGCAGATAGCCCAAGTCCTGGGGCCCCTGCACCCCTGTGGAAGACCCAGAAGAAGCTCCTGGTTCCTGGCTCTGGATCAGTGCTGCTCTGGCCATTGCAGCAACTGGGCGATGAATTAGCAGATGTAAGACCTCTCTATCTCTCTCTCTCTGCCTCTCCTTCTCTCTCTGTAACTCTGACTTTCAAATAAATAAATAAATCTCAAAAGAAAAGTAGCTTGAAGAAGATACAAATGAATGAAAAGATATCTGTATTAATGGACTGGAAGAATTAACATTGTTAAAATGTCCAAAGTCATCTAAATGGTCTATGCAATGCATATCAAAATACAAATGACATTATTCACAAATATAGGAAAAAATAATCCTACAAATTAATATAGAACCACAAAAGACCCTGAACAACCAAAGCAATTTTCATCAAAAAAGAACAAAGCTGAAGGCATCACATTATCTGACTTCAACATATCCTCTAGGGGTCAGTGTTGTGCCACAGCAGGTTAAGCCACCACCAGAATCCCACATCAGAGCGCTGGTTCCAATTCTATTTACTCTACCTCTGATCCTGCTTCCTGCTAATGTGTCTGGAAAAGCAGCAGAGGATGCCACAAGTACTTGGGATTCTGTCACCTAGGTGTGAGGCTGAGATAAAGTTCCTGGCTCCTGGCTTCAGCCTGACCCCAGTCCTGGATGTTGAGGGGAGTGAACCAGCAGATGAAAGATTTCTCTTTTTCTTTTTCTGTCACATGGCCTTTCAAATATATGTACTATAAACCTACAGTAGTCAAAACAGGATGGCATTGGCATAAAAAGAGATACATAGACTGATAGGACAGAATAGAGAATCCAGAAATAAATCCATGTGTGTACAGCCAACTGATTTTTGACAAAGGTGCCAACAACACACATGGCGGGGGGAGGAGAGAAGATATTTTTAAATGCTGCTGTGAGAACTAAATATCCAAATTTGGAAAATAGACCTTTATCTATCAACACATACAAAAGCCAATTCAAAACTACAACAGAAAACATCAGGGAAATGCTTTATGGCACTGGTCTAGGCAATTATTTTTTGGGCTATAACCTCAAAAACAAAGACAACAAAAAACAAAAATAAACAAAGGAATTTACATCAAACTAAAAAGCTTCTACACAGCAAAGGGAATTTTTAACAAATGAAGAAGCAACCCATAGAATGGGAGAAAATATTTGCAAATCATACAGCTGGTAAGGGATTAATATCCAAAGTTTAAAAAAAACTCAATAGTAAGAAAATAAATAACCCTACTTAAATATAGGCAAAAGATCTGCAGAAACATTTCTTGAAAGAAGGCAATAGGTATATGATAAATATACTCATCTAAATGGCCAATAAGTATACAACAAAATGCTCAACAAAAAAAGAAGAAATGCTTAACCCAAATTATCAGCAAAAAGCAAATTAAAACCACATTAAGGGCCACCGCTGCGGCTCACTAGGCTAATCCTCCGCCTTGCGGCGCCGGCACATTGGGTTCTAGTCCCGGTCGGGGCGCCGGATTCTGTCCCAGTTGCCCCTCTTCCAGGCCAGCTCTCTGCTGTGGCCAGGGAGTGCAGTGGAGGATGGCCCAAGTCCTTGGGCCCTGCACCCCATGGGAGACCAGGATAAGTACTTGGCTCCTGCCATCGGATCAGCACGGTGCGCCAGCCGCAGTGCGCCAGCCACAGCGGCCATTGGAGGGTGAACCAACGGCAAAGGAAGACCTTTCTCTCTGTCTCTCTCTCTCACTGTCCACTCTGCCTGTCAAAAAAAAAAAAAAAAAAAATTAAGACATCACCTCAAACCTGTTAGATGATTATCAAAAAACAAAAAGAGGGGCCAGCGCTGTGGCCCAGAGGGTTAAAGCCCTGGCCTGGAGTACCGGCATCCCATATGGGCACCAGTTAGAGTCCCAGCTGCTCCTCTTCCAATCCAGCTCTCTGCTATGGCCTGGGAAAGCAGTGAAAGATGGCCCAAGTGCTTGGGCTCCTGCACCCATGTGAGAGACCCAGAAGAAGCTCCTGGCTTCTGGCTTCGGATCAGCGCAGCTCTGGCTGTTGCAGCCATCTGGGGAGTGAACCAGCGGGTGGAAGACCTCTCTCTCTCTCTCTCTCTCCCTCTCTCTGTAACTCTGTCTTTCAAATAAATAAAATAAATCTTAAAAAAAAAAAAAAGATAACTAATGCTGGCAAGGATGTGGAGAAAAGGAACCCTTATACAGTTGGTGAATAGTAAATCAGTACAGCCATTATGGAAGAAAACATGGAAGTTCTGAAAATATTGAAAATATAATTACTGGGGCTCACACTGTGGCGCAGTGTGTTAATGCCCTGGCCTGAAGTGCTGGCATCCCATATGGGTGCCGGTTCGAGACCCGGCTGCTCCACTTCCTGTCCAGCTCTCTGCTATGGCCTGGGAAAGCAGTGGAGGATGGCCCAAGTCCTTGGGCCCCTGCACCCATGTAGGAGACCTGGAAGAAGCTCCTGGCTCCTGGCTTCGGATTGGCGCAGCTCCAGCCATTGCGGCCATCTGGGGAGTGAACCAGCGGATGGAAGACCTCTCTCTCTGCCTCTGTCTCTCCTCTCTCTGTGTAACTCTGCCTTTCAAATAAATAAATAAATCTTCAAAAAAAAGAAAATATAATTACCATCATCCAGCAATTCCATTTCTTTTAGAACCAGCATGTCAAAGAGTTATCTTCACTACAATGTTCACTGTAACACTATTCACAGTAACTCACTCATGGAACCAGTAGTGTCTTCCAATAGATGAATGGGTAAAGAAAATGTGGCATATGAGGGAATTTCAAAAATTCATGGAAAATGGAATTTAAAATGCTTCTTCAACCTATGCAGTTTTTGCAACATGCATTTTCCATGAGGTTTTTGAAGACCTTGTATAGTTCCCCAATGGACTACTACTCAACCATAAAAAAGAACAAAATCCTGGAGCCAGCGCTGTGGCGTAGTGGGTAAGGCCACTGCCTGCAGTGCTGGCATCCCATGTGGGCACTGGTTCCAGTCCCGGCTGCTCCATTTCCTATCCAGCTCTCTGCTATGGCCTGGGAAAGCAGTAGAGGAAGGCCCAAGTCCTTGGGTCCCTGCATCTGTGTGAGGGGCCTGGAAGAGGCTCCTGGCTCCTGGTTCCAGGTTGGCACAGCTCCAACCAATTGGGGAGTGAACCAGCAGATGGAAGAGCTCTCTCTCTGCCTTTTCTTCTCTGTGTAACTCTTTCAAATAAATAAAATCTAAAAAAAAAAAAAAAAATCTTGGGCCCCTGAACCTGCAAGGGAGACCAGGAGAAAGCACCTGGCTCCTGGCTTTGGATCGGTGTAGCTCCAGCCGTGGCGGCCATTTTGGGGTGAACCAATGGAAGGAAGACCTTTCTCTCTGTCTCTGTCTCATTGTCTATCTGTAAAATAAATAATTTTTAAAAATCCTTACATTTGCAACATGTATGAACCTGAAAACATTACACAAAATAAGCCAGATGATGCATGATTTCATGTGTGCAATCTTTTTTTTTTTTTTTTTTTTTTTTTTTTTTTTTTTGACAGGCAGAGTTAGACAGTGAGAGAGAGAGACAGAGAGAAAGGTCTTCCTTCTGCCATTGGTTCACCCTCCAATGGCCGCTGCGGCCGGCGCGCTATGGCCGGTGCACACCACGCTGATCCGAAGCCAGGAGCCAGGTGCTTCTCCTGGTCTCCCATGGGGTGTGGGGCCCAAACACTTGGGCCATCCTCCACTGCACTCCTGGGCCATAGCACAGAGCTGGCCTGGAAGAGGGGCAACCGGGACAGAATCCGGCACCCCAACTGGGACTAGAACCAGGTGTGCTGGCGCCACAGGCAGAGGATTAGCCTAGTGAGCTGTGGCGCCGGCCTCATATGTGTAATCTTAAAAAAAATTGACTTTTTTTATTTGACAGGTAGAGTTATAGACAGTGAGAGAGACAGAGAGAAAGGTCTTCCTTCCGTGGTTCACTCCCCAAATGACCGCCACGGCCGGCACTGCACCGATCCAAAGCCAGGAGCCAGGTGCTTTCTCCTGGTCTCCCATGCAGGTGCTGGGGCCCAAGCACCTGGGCCATCCTCCACTGTTCTCCTGGGCCACAGCAGAGAGCTGGACTGGAAGAGGAGCTGGGACTGGGACTGGAACCCAGCACCCATATGGGATGCCAGTGCCGCAAGGTGGAGGACTAACCAAGTGAGCCACAGCGCCGGTCCCCCAAAAATTGATTTCATAATGGAGTAGAATGTTGGTTACCAGAGGATTGGCTGACTGGGAAGGTGGATGGCAGCAAGATGTTTGTCAGTGGATGAGAGTATTTTAAATGTGTCCAGAATAGGCAAATAGGCAGAAAGTAGACTGCCTGGGGACAAAGGGGCAGGGAGAGATGCTAGGTAGTGGGAAATAGGGAATGACTATTAATGGTGATGGAGTTTCTTCTTTATGTGATGAAAACATTCTGAAATTGTGGTGATAGTGCACAACTCCGAACATAAAAACCATTGGATTTCACAAATTAAGAGTGAATGTGGGCCGGCGCCGTGGCTCACTTGGTTAATCCTCTGCCTGCGGTGCCAGCATCCCATATGGGAGCCAGGTTCTAGTCCTGGCTGCCCCTCTTCCAGTCCAGCTCTCTGCTGTGGCCCAGGTGCCTGGGCCCCTGCACCCACATGGGAGACCAGGAAGAGGCACCTGGCTCCTGGCTTCGGATCGGGGTAGCTCTGGCCGTTGCAGCCATTTGGGGGGTGAACCAACGGAAGGAAGACCTTTCTCTCTGTCTCTCTCTTTGACTCTGTCAAAATTAAAAAAAAAAATTTAAAAACAAAAAGTGAATGTATGGGACTGGTGCTGTGGCATAGTGGATAGAGCCACCGCCTGCAGTGTCGGTATCCCATAAGGAGCGCTGTTTCAAGTCCTGGCTGCTCCACTTCCAATCCAGCTCTCTGCTATGGCCTTGGAAAGCAGAAGATGGCCCAAGTCCTTGGGCCCCTGCACCCACATGGAAGACCTGGAAGCTCTTGGCTCCTGGCTCTGGATCGGCGCAGCTCTGGCCATTGCAGCCATCTGGGGAGTGAACTAGTAGATGGAAGACTTCTCTGCCTCTCTGTAACTCTTTCAAAAAAGTGAATGTATGGTAAGTACATTATCACAATGAAACTTAAAAATTGGCAAGATTTTGAGAAATATGTGAAAGCACACTCTGTGACCCATTACACTCCTCAGAAATGTCAATTTCCAGTGGTAACTCCTATCAATTGCAAGGTGCGTATCTTTTGGCCCTTAATTACTTCTATATTTATACAGAAATATATATATGTATTTTACCTTTACTTGAATTCACACCCTATATTACTCTGAATCTGCTTATGAGCTAGTATTTATTGAAGCTCTTCAGTCGAAAGATAAACTGCCTCTTATTCCAAATGTAGCACAGAATTCCACACTAGGGAGTTAGCCTACCATCATCTTGCATCTAGGCTATTTCCAATGTTTTACTATTTGATCTCCTGGGTACAAACTTTTGCAGACACATCTTTGAGCAAATGATCTAGCTTTTTAAGGTATTTCTAAAAGAAAAATTGTTGGCATTACCTTTCCATCAGCAAGACTCTCCACTTATTTTCTCAATTTTCATATTTATTTTTATTATATCTTTGAGACAAAAGCAAAAATCTTTCATCCACTGGTTCAATCCCTAAGGTCCCTTAAAGTTGAGGCTGCATCAGGCTAAAGCCAGGAGTCAAGAAGTCAATTTGGTCTTCCATGTGGGTGGCAGGGACCAAGTCATCTGCTGCCTCCCAAGGTGCACAATGGTAGGAAGCTAGAATAATGGGATGCAGGCATCCCAAATAATGTCTTGACCTCTGCACCAAATGCCCACTCCAAAATGCCCATTTGTTAATGTAATATTTCTTGACTATCTGCTGTGCATCTTGAACTATTCTGGACATTAGGAATAGAGCGGTGGACAATACCAGACACATTTTCCCACCCTCAGGCCCAACAGAAGATTGGAAGAATCTTTACCATTTTATTTTATTTTTTACAATACTTCAACCACTTCTCCCACTTGCTTACTACCCCAGCTCTTTCTTAAATTCCAATTCTTATCCTGAAACTTCTAGTAATGGGGTAGAATGGAGTAGAACTACAGGAATTAAGTTTATTATTATGGAATTATGTTTATTCTAATGAATCTACCTTAAGATAAAGTTATGAGAATTAAACAAGATACATGTGAAATACTTACAACATTGCTTGATAGTAAACATAGTGTCTGAGGTAGATAACTATTTATTATTTCTCATTTTACAAAGTGAGAAATCTAAGGCTTGAAGATGAAAAATAACTTGCTTAGTGTTACATAGGTAGGAGGGAACAATACAAGACTTTGAAGCGTATCTGACCACAATGCTATACAGCCTGTCTTGCAATCCATAAACACAAAATGCCAAGGGTTTTATTTTTTAATCTCTCTCATAAACATCTACCATCTTTTCTGAATTTTGTTCTAATGTCATCAACAATGAAAAACATGCACACACAGACAAGTTGGCTTTCTATTTGAGTTAAACAAAGCCAACATTCCAAACGCAGTACAAAAGTTTAATTAACTTAATCACTGATACATAACACAAACACAAACTTTATTTCTTTAACAGTGAAATGGTAGTAACAACACAATAATTTGTGACAGAAACCATAGAGAGCAAAATAAAATAAAGTTAATTAAAGAAGCTTTGCTCCATCTCAAATTAGTTTTCTCCTTTAAACAGGAAAAAGTGCCATTAGTCTAGTGGTTCTCAACCCTGTCTGTACATTAAAGAAAGGAAAGGAAGGAAGATGGTGCTTTAAAAAATAGCTATGTCCAAGTTCAACCTCAAAACAATTAAATAATAATCTCTCAAGAATGGGGCCCAGGCCAAAATTCTTATATTTTTTTTAAAGAATTTATTTATTTGAAAGGTAGAGTTACAGGGACAGAAAGATCTTAAATTCACTGGTTCACTCCCCAAATGGCTTTATCAGCCAGGAATAAGCCAGGCCAAAGCTAGTAGCCTGGAACTCTTTCTGGGTCTCATACATGGGTGGCAGATGCCCAAGTACTTAGGTCACCCTCTGCTGCCTTCCCAGGCCTATTAGCAGGGAGCTGATCAGAAGTGGGGCAGCTGGAACTTGACCCAGCGCCCACATGGGATGCTGGTACCACAGGTGATGGTTTAACCAGCTGTGCTACAATGCTGGCCCCCCAGGCCAAGATTTGTAAAGTGCTGTCAGTGTTGAGAACTACAGGTCTAAAGTAATACGCATTAAAAATCATGTCCTCACAGCAATTCAAAACCAAGAAACTGATCACAGGGTACATTTCTTTCCTATTATCTTGATAAACAGGGAAGGAGCAGGCACCAACTCATTTCTCATCATTCTTTATCCATTTTTGATTGCCCTCAGTAGAGCTTAACAAACATCAAATATTGAAAGATATGCAAACATGCTACCAAAAGTGAAATCCTACTTTTCATTAGAAAGTTCTTAAAACAATACTAGCTTTCAGAATCTCCCACATTTTAAGTTTGCATAGTCAGCTATTTTGTTTAACTAAGAAGAGTCAATAAAATGTATTAGAAAGCATTTTATTAATAACAGTTATAAAACAATATTTGAGTGTTTCCCATATATTGCTAAAACTTTCAGAATTTCTTTTTATAAGATGAATAGCTTCAAGTTTAGAATCAAGATGAGCTTTTTTCTTTAACAACACACACGTAAGATACTTCCCCTACAACTGAAAAATCCCCTATTGTAAGTTCAGTAGTAACTGCAGGCATTTATCTTCAAAACAACTCTTCTTCATTTTTCAAGTTTGGAAATATCATATCAAGTATGGAAAATAATTTTCCTAAGAATACATGAATTCACTAAGACAGGTCTCTTCAAATTCAGCAAGGCCCATTTCTTCAGCTCCTTATGTCAGGACTCCATGTCGATCTCAGCCACTTCATTCTTGCCCTGAACTGTTGCTTCTATCAGGCTATCTTCATTTACATCTTCAATATCTGCCAGATCAATAGGTGGTAAAGGATTCCTCCAATACTGGAAGGTATTGTACTGCCAAAATTCTTCATTGCGCTTTGGGGGGAAAAAGATAAAAGTACATCAGTGGCTTGAAAAAGCTAACGTTTTTCAGGAAACAAATTTATTTTAAAAGAAACATAAGATTTTTGAAGTCTCAGAAAGTAACAAATACTGGTGAGGATGTGAGGAAACAGGAACTCATACACTGTTGGAGGGAATGTAAAATAGTACAGCCACTATGGAGAGCAGTGTGGAGATTTCTTTAAAAACTATAAACAAACTGTCATAGGATCCAGCAATCCCACTACTGGGTATACATCCAAAAGACAGGAAATCATTATTTCAAAGAGATAGGTTCTCCATCATATTTATTGCAGTACTATTCACAATAGCCAAGATATGGAATCAGCCAAAGTGTCTATCATCAGACATATATAGTATATATACATAATGGAATACTATTTAGCCATAAAAAATGAAACCACCATTTGCAAGCAAAATGGATGGAACTAGAGGACATCATGTTAAGTGGAATAAGCCAAACACAGAAAAATAAATGTCACATGTTCTCTCTCGTATGTGCAAGATTTTAAAAAAATGTATCTCAATCTGAATACAGAATGTTAATGACTAAAAGGTAAGAAGGGTAGAGGGAAGTTTGGAGCAGGGGGAGCTGGTGTGGTTCATTAATTATAGCAAATATACTGATATAACAGTGGAAGCTAGGCCTGGTATACTGGTAATTACAAACATCATACTAGTATGTTAATAGAGAAAGCTGTACGTGGAGTATATGGGAACTCTTTGTACTTCACAATTTTTTTGAATTTTTGAAAAACTCTGAAATAAGATTAAAGATTTTACAGTTTTTAATTTGCATTTTCAAACAATACAGTTTTGTCTAAACATATTTCATGTATTCAAATCTGTGCATTTTTAGTATTTATAAACTTAGACATATGTGTTTAGATTTAGAATAATTTTCTCTAAGAACACCTCCACATTTTTCTCCCATTTTTCACCAACAGAAAATGTCTGAAAAATCTTAAAATGCTTCACCTTTCAACAAAGAAAATAAGAATTTATTTTAAAAATAGGAGCAGGCATTTGGTAAAACCACGGCCTCTAACACCAGCATCTCATATAGGCACCAGTTCGAGTCCATTTCCAATCCAGCTCCTGCTAATGAGCCTGGCAAAGTAATGAAAAATGGCCCAATCCTATGGCCCTTGCACCAACATCAGTGACCCAGAAGAAGCTCCTGGCTTTGGTGTGGCCCAGTCCTAGTGCTTGCGGTCATTTGTGGAGTGAATCAGCAGAATGGAAGATTTCTCTCTAACTGTGCCTTTCAAATAAATAAATAAATCTTAAAAAAAAAAAAAAAAGTTCCAGTCTTGACTCCTTTACTTCCAATGCAGCTTCCTGCTAATGCACACTTGAGGCAGCAGAAAGTGACGGTGCAAAGTACCATCCCTACCACCAATGAGGGAGACTTGGATTGAATTCTGGGCTCCTGACTTCAGCCCAGCCCAGTCCTGAGTACTGCAGGCATCTGGGGAGTGAATCAGCAGATTGAAGAGCTCTGTGTTTCAAATAAAATGAAAACTAAAACTTAAAATATATATTTAAAATATACCCTCCTTTTATTACTTTTTTTTAGCTTTTTCCTCAAGTTTGATATTTTAGGACACTGACTTTACATAGTCCAAAATATTTTGACAACTTTCTAAAAAGTGTTAGGATATAAACATGGTGAATAACAAGAAAACCTAAAGTTGATCATTGTAGTAAAGCTACCATTTGTTACAAAATATGACTAGCATAATATACCATAATTTATAAATCCAACTGAGTGATGGCCACTTAAAAATTTTAGTTTACTATGAATGGTTATAAAATTATTTCAAGTAACTATGAAGTAAAGCTGATATTTCAATGAAGTTCAAAATTAGCACAGAATTTCAAAAGCAACCCCCCAATACTCATACTTTATGCAAAAGCAGCAGCATTGGAGCTATATAGTCTTCCAAAGTGACAATTATAAACATTAACACATTCTGTTTTACTATATTGTATTCTTACTTTAAGCTCATATTCACTATAGTAGCACCATCCAACAGAAAAAGAACGGGAGTCACATAATTTAAAAAATTTCTAGTGGGGCCAGCATTGTGATGCAGTGGGTTAAGCCGCTGCCCATGACACTAGAATCCCATATGACAGTGGTTTTGAGTCCCAGATGCTCCACTTTTGATCCAGCTCTCTGATAATGTATTTGGGGAAAGCAGTGGAGGATGGCAAAAGTGTTTGGGCCCCTGCCACCCACATGGGAGACCCAGATGGATTTCCAAGCTCCTGTCTTCCACCCAGCCCAGTGCCAGCTGTTGTGGCCATTTGAGGAGTGAATTAGCATATGGAAGTTCTCTCTCTGTCTCTCTCTAACTCTGCCTTTCAAGTAAAACAATCTTAAAAAAGAAAAAAACCTTTTTTCCAGTAACCATAGTAAAAAAAAATAAAAAGTAAAAAGAAACAGGTGAAATTAATCAGAATATCTTATTTGATCTAGTATTATTCAAAACATTGTTTCAACATGCATTTCAAAAATTTTTATTAAATCAAATAAATTATATATTTAATGATATACAATTATTTCAATGTTATCAATATATTTAAATATAAATTATATAAATTAAATTTATTAATTTTTGTCATACTAAGTTTTCAAAGATCTTTTACACTTCCAGCACCATTCTAGCTAGACATATTTCAATATTCAATAGTCAGCTGTAAGTGGTTACTCTCCTGGAGAACAGAAGTCTGTAAGTCTCATCTGTAAGTGCATTCAATATCTTAGACTCTACGGCCGAGGGGATTAAAAGTCTTTGAGGAATTTACTAATATTAGAAAACAAGTATAAGTCAAAGAATAACAAGAAAAAATTCACATTAACAAGTAAATGGGGTTACAAAGTTCTAATTCTCCTTTTGGAAAATCTATTGTTCAAAGTATGTATTCATAAACATGAACCAAAAAACATCTTTAAATAATGTATCACCAAGTGATGAAGAGTAAATCTTGCCATTGGACAAATCTGCATTTGCATAACCCTACCACAAACTTTGATTACCTGGATTGCGTCCTCAGTGTAGAAATAATGTATCTGAGGCAGTATTTATCAAATGAGATATCAAACATTGATAGCAGGGACTCAAGCTCTATTCTGAGCACAGGAGATATCAGGCAGATAGTTACTGCATTGTACTCAAAAAAGCCTTTTTGTTGTTGTTGTTGTTACACCCTATTTTTCCTCGGCAATTTAACCATAAAACCCTCAAACCAAAAAGTCTGTGCCTCTGGAAGGAGGAAGGGGACAACATCCCATCTTAGGTTTGCAGAAGAGCAACAGACCTAACAAAAAGAAACATGAGTGCTTCTAGGCTTTAGCCAAAAGACAGAGACTGGTCTTGATAAAGAAGGAACCCCTAGGTGCTGGCTTTACAGAAAAAGTAAAAGTAAAGCCGGCTGCCTGGGATGCCAGCATCTCATATGGGCCCTGGTTCCCGTTCCAGCTGCTCCACTGCCAGTCTAGCTCCCTTCTAATTGCCTGGGAAAAGGAGAAGATGGCCCAAGTGTTTGGGTCTCTGCCACCCATGTGGGACACCCACATGAAGCTCCTGGCTTCGGCCTGGCCCAGCTCCAGATGTTGCAGCCCTCCGAGGAGTGAACCGGTGGATGGAAAATCTCTGTGACTCTGATTGTCAAATAAGCAATCCTTAAGAAAAAACAAAACAAAACAAACAAAAGGAACCCCTAGACCCTTTTCCCTGCAATGTGACTACAGAAGTTATTGCTTTGGGGGCACACACAGGTGTCTAGAAGATTCTAAACAGGTGGTTTTTTTTTTTCGCCAGTCCACCAAAAGACTCTCATTTTATTTATCATATCCATATTTTCTCTAGCACCCTTTCTGGCATACCTTGGATATCAAAAATAGTCTGAAGAAGAAAAGTTTCAAACCATGCATTATCTATAATTAAAAGTATTCAAATGGGGGCCCAGCGCTGTGGCTCACTTGGTTAATCCTCCGCCTGCGGCACCAACATCCCATATGGGCACCGGGTTCTAGTCCCAGTTGCTCCTCTTTCAGTCCAGCTCTCTGCTGTGGCCCGGGAGGGCAGTGGAGGATGGCCTAAATGCTTGGGCCCCTGCACCCGCGTGGGAGACCAGGAAGAGGCACTTGGCTCCTGGCTTCGGATCAGCACAGTGCCAGCCGTGGCGGCCAATTGGGGAGTGGGAGGGAGGGAGGACCTTTCTCTCTGTCTCTCTCTCTCTCTCTCTGTCTATAACTCTACCTGTCCAAAAAAAAATTTTTTTTTTTCAAATGACACAGTACTTCTCTCCATATCCAGTAGGTGTGGATAACTACCACTGTGTTCTGAATTAGTTAATTGTGACATTTTAGAGCAATTTAAAGAAAAAGTCTGAATAAAGACTGTTTAAGCTCCAAGAAAACTAGGGGTAGAAATACAATTCATGATTTCAACCAGAAATACTCATCAGAATGATGAAGGGTCTTTTTTTTTTTATTAAAGATTTATTTATTTATTTGAAAGTCAGAGTTACACACAGAGAGAGAGAAGTCTTCTGCCCAATGGTTCACTCCCCAGATGGCCCCAACAGCCGGAGCTGCGCTGATCCGAAGCCAGGAGCCAGGAGCTTCTTCCAGGTCTCTTACACGGGTGCAGGGGCCCAAGGCCTTGGGCCATCTTTTACTGCTTTCCCAGGCCATAGCAGAGAGCTGGATTAGAAGAGGAGCAGCCGGGACTCAAACCGGTGCCCATATGGGATGCTGGCGCTTCAGGCCAGGGCATTAACCCGCTGTGCTACAGTACCGGCCCCAAAATGATGAAGTTTAAAACATACTTTTTCACAATTACAGGGGAAAAAACATTCTCAAGTATAATATTATTGCATTTTTCACCTGAAGGAGTCATGCCAAAGGAAATCTCAATGTATTTTGGGGAGAGGGTGGAATAAGGCTTATGATAAACTCTGCCATAAGACATTTAAAACAACAGAAAAAAATCTGAGAAAGATGCTTTGCTGCAGTTTTAAAAGGTTTGGTGAATTTTGAGCCCTACACCTGGTGTCTCCATTCCGAAAGCCCCCTTGCTAGGAGAATAGCAGAAAAGGAAAAAAAGCACTTTGCATTCTTAAGTCTAGACCAGCCTGCCCAACACTGTAACTTGAGCCATCAACATAAATTTATATTTTTCTAGTTGCCATAGTAAAAAAAAAAAAAGGAGGTGAAATTAATGTTTTATTCAGTCCAACACATCCAAGTTATTTAACGTGAGGTCCAGGTAAAAATGTTCTAGTACTGTATATTTTTCTTTTAGTAACTCTTTGAAGTCGACTATTTCACACTTGCAAAAAACTGTCTCACCAAACCGGCGGCTGCCATACTGAACACCGAGGACCCAGTCGAGTCTTCTCGGGATTCTTAGCATCAGGCATGAAACGGGATCATTTCCCAAGGAGCAGAAACTCCCGAGATTCTCATGTACACTTTACCTGATGGACCAAATTAATGTCCAAAAGTGATCTTTTTAAGTAAGATTAAAGATCGTGAGTTGTTTTCCCCCAAATACAGCGGTGGGACCTGTATCACACCCTTAGTTCGACCAAACTGATGGCAACCGCAACGGCGACCGTCTTTGGAAAGCCGTCTCTCACGGCTTCCAGAATAATCATCGTTAAAACCAAGCAGGCGCATTGCACCTGGCTCCGAGGTTTGTCGCGGAGCTGAACCTCGGTCAACGTCCCCACCACGCTCCCGCCGCCCCCGCACGAGGGGCCACTTCCACCGCACCCGACGGCCTTTCCCGCACAAGGCCAGCCTAGCGGACTCTCGAAGTGCGGTCAAGGGTGGGCCCGGGGAGCCCTAACGTGCCGGCGGGGGCTGGCACCCATTCCAGAGGGGTGACCCCAGCTAGTCGCCTCTGGGGGTGCACAAGCAGAGTGTGACAACCCGTTTCACGCCTGCCGGGAGTCTGAGGGAAAGACGAACCCCTTTCTCCCCACGCACACCCGCAGAGGCTCCCAGGCCGCCCCCAGCCCCTACCTGGAGCGGTGCGGCCCCCCAGTCTCCCCGAGGGGACCCTGCGCGTCCCGCCCCATCGTCGCCACCGCCCCTCAGGGGCCGGGCAGCGCGGGACTCCTCCCCCGGGCCGTGGGGCCGTAAGGACGGCTGCAACAGCGACGGCTCGACGGTGTCCAGGCTGTGGTCCTCACGCTCCTCGCCGCCCGGGGCGCTGCTGTCCCCGCTGTCGCGGCGCTTGCTGGGCGAAGCCGAAGGCTCTGCCATGGCCCCCGCGTCGATTTTGCGCTTTCGGGACAGCCCAGGATGCGAAGCCCCGGGCGGCGGAATCCAGAGCGGCGGAGGCGGCTCCTCCGAGAAATCGCAGAGGAGCCGCTTCCAAGGCACGTGGAACGCCAGCGGCTCGGCCGCACGCCGCTTGGCCATGGGCCCAGAGGCTCGGGCGGAGCCGGCCCGGCGCGGGAGGCCGAGCGCCGATACCGTGGGGGCGGAGCGCGCGAGGGAGGGCTAGGCCGCGGTCGGCTGAGGAGGCCACAGGCAGGTGGACAGCGGGGAGGGGGCGGGGCGGCGCAGCCGGCGCGCGCTGCCCTCGCTACCGCGGAGGTGCGGCCCAGACGTTGGCGAGCAACCGCGAAGCGCAGGAGATTCGAACCTGCGCACGAATCTGCGCGCGCGCACTCGCGCCAGCCCGGCGGAGCCGCTGGTTGGTCGAGGTTTGCGGAGCGCGCTCCCGAGCGCTCCCTGGGCCGGAAGTGCGCACAGGGGGCGGGAAGCGGGAAGGCGGTGGCGGGCTGATTGAAGAGCCTGAGAGGAGCCCGCTGAGGGGCGTGGTCTTGTTTCCTTAGGGGCGGGGCGGGGCGGGGCAGGGGCAGAGCGGCTTCCGAATAGGCTAAGAACTGTGCGTTCCAGAGCTTTCTGTGGGAGAGAGAATCCCTTTGAGGTGTGTGTGGTAGTCCCTGCTTGGGTCAATGCCCACGGGGCGGCTCGAGATTGAGGGACCAAGGTTATACACAGGCTTTTTAACGTGCTGGTTAAGAATCTTTACGTTACTATCCCAAACCACCAGGGAGTTTCAAGGCTGGAGGAAGTGGCAATAGATAACGTGAAGGAAAAAATGTAACAAAGTAAAAACGAAGTTAGTTTGGTGGCGGCTGCTGTGAAAAGTGGAGGCATTCCTCGAAGACATCCTACTTAGAAATTTGAAGTTCCAGACACCATACGCAGCCATCCAAGATAGCTGGGTAGTTTTGGCAAGAAGCAAGCCTGCTCCTCTCTTTTCCAACTGAGTCCTAAAATTGTGTGGCTTCTAAATTATAGGGAAAATCCGAGTTCCCGTCGTACTGGGTGAGGTTGGCAGACAGATTCAAAAACTTCAGTGCCGCGCAGTTGTGTGTTGTCACGCAGTGTAAAGATAGAGGCCCCTGCGGTGTAACTTGAATTTTTAACAGTGTGGCATAAAGACGGTGACCAAGTAAACAAAAATGGAAGAAAATAGGACTTATAAGTGCTTTGAAGAGAAAAGCTATGGTCTTCTGAGAAAAACAAGGACGGTTTCTTCTAGCCGGCAGGTACTACCTAAATATTAATTACCCTTTGCCCTGACACCTCAAGGTGGCTGTGGGAGGATAGGTCAGTTACTTACTTCCTAGCAAGCGTAGAAATATGTGGCTTTCTAAGGTAGGAAAATATTAGCTCTTCTGTTGTTTGAAGTTAATAACCCCGTTGTACGACACACAGGACGAATTTGCCGTTTTCAGTCCAGTTTCATGCTAGAGGGCAGATATTTTGTTGAAAGTCTTTGAAGGGCTCCTGCTCAAAGTCGATAGGGTGTGGTTTAGCTAATGGTTCATTGCTTTGTGTTTTCTTTCCATAGACTTTTTTTCTTTTTCTTTTTTTTTTTATCCAATTGTAAAATTTATCATGTGTGGTGGTTACCTGTTATCCATGCTTTGTGTGGTTTCAGTTACCTACAGTGGTCAACGGCCATCTGAAAATATTAATTGAAAATTCCAAAAATAATTCAGAACTTTTAAAAGTGTGCATTATGAGTGCTGTGATGAAATCTCATGCTTTCTTGCTCCATCCTTCCCAGAATGCAACTCAGCCCTTGTCCAGTGTATCCATGCTCTATGTGCCAGCTGCTATTCACTTAGTAATAATCTTCCTTCTCAGACGGTTGGTGGCGATATTGTGGCGTTTGTACATAGCATTTAGTGCTATCTACTATTTCAGGTACCCACTGAGGGTCTTGGGACATACTCTTTTTGAAGGGGGAGTGTGGCTACTGTATATATACAATTGTTGTGTACAACATGCATGCTGTTAAAAAACTGATAGTAATAAATCCAGCGTTCCATTTCAGAAATAGAATATTACAAATACCAGAACATGACAATCTCCCTATGTGTCTCTCCCATTGGTAAATCACTTTTCTTCACTCCAGGCGATTCCGTTTTTAATTTTGATTAACATTATTCTTTTGTTTATTGTGTTTGTAATTTCCCCATCTATGTATATGAGACAGCTTTGAAAAGTTTGTGGGAAAATGGGATTTAAAAATAAAAAATATAAATTTTATTTCTCAACATAAACTTCACCTGAAGTTCAAAACACTTTTTTTTTTTCACACTTTCTTTTTTTTGACAGGCAGAGTTAGACAGTGAGAGAGAGAGAATCAGAGAAAGGTCTTCCTTTTCCGTTAGTTCACCTCCCAAATGGTTACCACTGCCAGCGCGCTGCATTGATCCAAAGCCAGGAGCCAGGCGCTTCCTCCTGGTCTCCCATGCGGGTGCAGGGCCCAAGCACTTGGGCTATCCTCCACTGCACTCCGGGGCCACAGCAGAGAGCTGGCCTGGAAGAGGAGCAACCAGGACAGAATCCGGTGCCCCGACCGGACTAGAACCCGGTGTGCCAGCACCGCAGGCGGAGGATTAGCCAAGTGAGTCACAGCACCTGCCTTCAAAACACTTTTGTTAATGATCATACCAGCTATTTAGTCCATCCCTGAAGAACTCAGTGTCCTGGGAATTATCTATGTCAATGCATTCCTTTTTGCATTGTGAACTAAAGAAAAATGGATGCCTTTTAAAGCAATTTTTTTGTTTTTTTTAATTAGGAAACAAAAAGAAATCAAGAGAAACCAAATCAGGACTATAAGGTGGTTGCTAATGATTTCTCATCAAAACTGTCACAAAAGTGCCCTGATTTGATGAGCAGAATGATCAGGAGCCTTGTTGTGGTGAAGGGCTTTGAGGGGGACGCTTTCTTGAGCATTTTTGTTAAAGCTTATAACTTTCTCAAAACTCTTAAACAGACTTACTGTTCTTTGGCTCCCCAAAAGTCAACAAGCAAAATGCCTTGAGCACCCCAAAAAAACTATTGCTGTAAACTTTGCTCTTGACCGGTCCACTTTTGCTTTGGATTACTTCCACATCTTGGTAGTCATTGCTTTGATTGTGCTTTGCTTCAGGATCATAGTGGTAAAATCAAGTTTCATTTCCTGTTCCAGGATCTTGATTCCTCTTGTTGAAAATTACCATTGAATTCTTTTCCTGTCTGTAGCTGATCTGAGTGCAATAGTTTTGGCATCTATTGAACAGAAAGATGTTTTTCCCTTTTTCAGTGGGAAGTAGACTGAACCATTTGAGATGTCTGTGGTGTTGGCTGTTGTTTCTTCTGTTAACTGTCAGTCTTCTGACGAATAGGGTACAAACAAGATTAATTTTTTCCTTGCAAATAGATGTGATCGTCTGTTGCAGGCTTCATCTTCGATATAGTATTTTCTCTTCTTAAACCAAGTTGCCCATTTGTAAGTGCTGATTTCTTTGGAGGCATTGTCCTCATATGTTTTTCATAAGGCATCAGTGATTTCACCCTTCCTCAACCCAAGCTTCACCATCGATTGGATGTTTGTTCTTATTTCAATGTTAGCAGCATGTTGCTCTGAAACGGGTTCTTTTATAGTACCTTATATAAGATCCAGCTCAGGCATGTGATATCAATTTAGTGTGTGTGCATTTTGGTGCAAAATTTTTTTGAAATACATGCAAATTTTTTTTTTTTTTTTGACAGGCAGAGTGGACAGTGAGAGAGAGAGACAGAGAGAAAGGTCTTCCTTTTTGCCGTTGGTTTACCCTCCAATGGCCGCCGCGGCCCGTGCGCTGCGGCCGGCGCACCGCGCTGATCCGATAGCAGGAGCCAGGAGCCAGGTACTTCTCCTGGTCTCCCATGGGGTGCAGGGCCCAAGCACTTGGGCCATCCTCCACTGCACTCCCTGGCCACAGCAGAGAGCTGGCCTGGAAGAGGGGCAACCGGGACAGAATCCGGCGCCCCGACCGGGACTAGAACCCAGGGTGCTGGTGCCGCAAGGCGGAGGATTAGCCTAGTGAGCTGCGGCGCCGGCCAAAATCCATGCAAAGTTTTTTTATAATGCACATCTCCTGTGAACTTTTTGGAGGCCCTGCATATATTCCTAAATAGCGTATTTTTGGTTTATCTGGAGTTTTTTCTTTATTGGTCTAATGGACATATAACGAACTGTATATCTATATATATGTATATGTATATGTATATATATGAAGTGTACATTTGACATTAACACTTACTTGTGAAAACATAACCACAATCAAGAGAATGCACATATCCATCATCTTGAAAAATATCTTTCTCTTTTGCCATCTTTCCTGTCACCATTTAGGTAATCATGGATTTGCTTTTTATCATTAAAGATTAATTTATATTTTCAAGCATTTTATGTTTCTTAATGCCATAAAGAGCTTATACTTTTGTTACATTTATTCTTAGGCAATTTGTAATTTTTGTAGATAATATCCTTTTTTTGTCTTTAAATGATAGTTTCTGACTTATTGCTGTTCTTCTCTGTCTCTCCCTTTAAAAAGTTTTATTTATTTTCATTTTATTTAAAAGATGCTTGCAACAGCCAAGGCTGGGCCAGAACCAAGCCAGGAACCTGGAATCCAATCTGGATCTCCAAAGTGAGTGGCAGAGACCGAACTACTTGAGCATTGGCAGGAAGATGAATTACAGTGAAGTAGCCAGGACTTGAACCAGGCACTCCCATATAGAATGTGGGAGTCCCAAGCAGTGACTTAACTGCTATACCACATACCTGCTCCCTGAGTTCACTTTAAAACTCCTGGAAATATAACTTGAAATTAATTTATCATAAGTTATAAATAATACCAGATCCACTTATTCACTTAAGTTGTCAGATTTGCTGGCATAGTATCTTAGTTTCTGTATTTTCCGTTGGATTGATTTCTACTTCATTTGGATTTACTTTGCTTGTCTTTCTCTAGCTTCTTCTGGTAGAACCTTTGGATACTGATTTTAGCCTTTTCTAACATAAACATTTAAAGCTATATGTTAACCTGTAGCACCGCTTTAGCTGCATCCCACACATTTTGATATGTTATGTTTTCATTATTATTCATTTTGAAAGACTTTTGAATTTTTTTAAAAGATTTATTTGAAAGGCAGAGTTACAGTGAGGCAGAAGCAGAGAGAGAGAAAGAGAGGGAGGTCTTCCATCCGCTGGTTCACTTCCCAGATGGCTGCAACAGCCGGAGCTGTGCTGATACAAAGTCAGGAGCCAGGAGCTTCTTCTGGGTCTCCCATGCAAGTGCAGGGGCTCAAGAACTTGGGCCGTCTTCTACTGCTTTCCCAGGCCACAGCAGAAAGCTGGATCAGAAGAGGAGCAGCTGGGACTCGAACCGGTGCCCATATGGGATGTCCAGGCACTGCAGGCAGTGGCTTTCACCTCTACACCACAGCGCCAGCCCGACTTTGGAATTTTCTATTTGTTCTTTTTTTTTTTTTTTTTTAAGATTTATTTATTTACTTTGAAAGAGTTACACAGAGAGAAAAGGAGAAGGAGAGAGAGAGAGAGAGGTCTTCCATCTGCTGTTTTACTCCCCAGTTGGCTGCAATGGCCAGAGCTATGCTGATCCGAAGCCAGGAGCCAGGAGCTTCCTCCAGGTCTCCCACGTGGGTGCAGGGGCCCAAGGATTTGGGCCATCTTGTGCTGCTTCCCCAGGCCATAGCAGAGAGCTGGATAGGAAGTGGAGCAGCTGGGTCTCAAATTGGTGCCCATATGGGATGCCAGCACTGCAGGCGACAGCTTTACCTGCTTTGCCACAGTGCCGGCCCCAATATCCTTTTTGTTCTTTTACTTCCTTTCCTTAGATTAATTGAACATTGTTTTGAATTTAATTTAACTTGCTGGCATTTGAGCTATACCTCGCTCAAATAATTTTTTAAAAATATTTATTTTACTTATTTGAAAGAGTTAGAGAGAGTCTGAGGCAGAGAGAGAGGTCTTCCATCCAATGGTTCACTCCCCAGATGGCTGGAACAGCCAGAACTGCACTGATCTGAAGCCAGGAGCTGGGAGATTCCACTGTGACCTGGGCCATCTTCTACTGCTTTCCCAGGCCATAGCAGAGACCTGGATTAGAAGTGGAGCAGCCAGGACTCGAACTGGTGCCCTCGTGGGATGCCAGCAATGCAAGTGGTGGCTTCACCCACTATGCCACAGAGCCGGCCCCTCAAATACTTTTTATAAAAGAGTCATTTCTTTTCTCAACCATACTTTACTGTGGATAATGACCAGAAGTCAACAAAGCAATAAAGAAGGAAGGTTTTTTTTTTTTTTTAATGTCTTCTTGGTAAAGAAGAAATACATATAACTCATGAATGTGCCATCTGCTTATCTTTAAACTTGCCTGTTTGAGACTGATTGAAGCCTCCTAACAGTTTAGGGTAGGGAAGTGGTTTAAAAATTTTTAGCAGCTACTTATTTGCTGGACCTTTTATATACCTCATTTAATCATGAAAACTTTTGGTGCATATATTATTGCCAGTATAACCAATAAATCTCTTCTGTGAGCATCATATCTAGGTCAGCACCTCAGTGAGTCCTGTCCTGACCACCCTATTTAAAATTGCAAGTCACTCTACATTTCCCCTCTTGATTTTATTGACCTTTTTACATTTTTTTCCATAGCATCCTCACCTTCCAAGCTATTATGTAATTCACTTATTATTCTTATTCCTATTTTCTCCTTCTCTAGAAAGTGTTCCTTGATGGTAGGAATTTTTGCCTTTTTGTCTTGTTTATTCACAATATAAACAATAGAACAGTTGAATGAAAGGCTTCCTCATTTCTACTTGAGTGTTTCACAGGCATCTCATACTGTAGCCTCCTCCAGTGTCATCATTCATCCAGGTACTCATGCCAGAAACCTAACTGAATCTTTCACAATTGTATATTTTTGAAGACATAGGTTACATATCTGTTAGGGACTAGACAAAAATCTGGACCCTGGGGTTACAGCAGTAAACAAATAGCGCTGCCCCTTGACTCCCCTACTATGATACTGGAGGAGATAGAAAAAGAAGTACATCTGTCAGGTGCTGAGGAATAATGAAAGTAAAGCACAGTGAATAGAAGGTAGTCAAGAAGGGCCTCTCTGATAGACTTTCTTTTCTTTCTTTTTTTTTTTTTTTTTTTGACAGGCAGAGTGGACAGTGAGAGAGAGAGAGAGACAGACAGAAAGCTCTTCCTTTTGCTGTTGGTTCACCCTCCAATGGCCGCCACGGCTGGCGCGCTGTGGCCGGTGCACCACACTGATCCCAAGCCAGGAGCCAGGTGCTTATCCTGGTCTCCCATGGGGTGCAGGGCCCAAGCACTTGGGCCATCCTCCACTGCACTCCAAGGCCACAGCAGAGAGCTGGCCTGGAAGAGGGGTAACCGGGACAGAATCCGGTGCCCCGACCGGGACTAGAACCCGGTGTGCCGGCGCCGCTAGGCGGAGGATTAGCCTAGTGAGCCGCGGCGCCAGCCTCTGATAGACTTTCAAGCAAGGACTTGAGCAAAGTGTGGGACATATAGGGTAAGTGATCCCAGGCAGAAGTCATAGTATGTGCAAATGTCAAAAAGTGCAAAATAGCAAGAGCATGCCTGGCATGAGCAAGAGACAACAAAAAGGCCAGTGTTACCTTTTATTTTCTGTCTCTCATTTATTTTTGCATAGTTTCTGTGTATTTTATGCCTTGAATTTCACTAATTGTTTTTGTACCAAACCTGTTAATCCCATACACTGTACTTTTCATCCCTCAAAATATACTTTTCATCACTAGAAACCATGACTCTAGATAACATTTTGAACATACATACTACAATTGTGCTGTTTTAATGTTTCTCTCTGTTAATTCTAACATGTGACAGTTCTGGGTTGGTTTCAATCAGTTAATGTTTCTGTTCGCTTTGTTTTCCTGTTTCTCAGCATACCTAGTACATTTTGTACACCAGATATTGTGAGTTTACTTTGTTGGGTGCTAAATGTTTTTGTTTTTCTATAGTCTTGAGCCTTGTATAGGATGCTAAGATTTATTTATTTGAAAGACAAAGTTACACAGACAGAGAGAGGGAGAGGGAGTCTGCCATTTGCTGGTGCCCTTTCCAAATGGCCATGATGGTTGGAGCTGGACCAATCCAAATCCAGGAGCCTGGACCATCTTCAGGGTCTCCCACACAGGTGCAGGGACCCAAGGACTTGGGCCATCTTCTGCTTTCCCAGGCCATAGCAGAGAGCTGCATCAGAAGTAGAGCAGCCTTGGCAGCTCATGAGAAGAGCCTTGGATGATTACTGACATCATAAATAAGAGTGTCAATCGTTAAATCAACAACAGGAGTCACTGTGCACTTACTCCCCGTGTAGGACCTCTGTCCTTAATATGTTGTACTATGTAATTAATGGTAAAACTAGTCTTCAAACAGTACTTTATACTTTGTGTATCTGTGTGGGTGCAAACTGTTGAAATATTTCCTTAGTATAGAGTTGATCTTCTGTATATAAAGATAATTAAAAATGAATCTTAATGAAGAATGGGATGGGAGAGGGAGTAGGAGATAGGATGGTTTTCGGGTGGGAGGGTGGTTACGGGGGGAAGAACTGCTATAATCCAAAAGTTGTACTTTTGAAATTTATATTTATTAAAAGTTTTCTATTAAAAAAAAAGTGGAGCAGCCAAGACTCAAACTGACACCCATATGGGATGCTAGCACTGCAGGTGGCCCCAAGGATGCTGTTTCATTACATAGAAAGTTCTGTCACTTTGATCTTGCTTTTAAGGTTTGTGAAGCAGGACGTGGGCACTGTTCCCAAGGGCTAATTGTTCCCCACTACTGAGGCAAGATCTTTCTCTTTCCATACCCAGTGCCAGTGCCCTATAAATTATGAGGTTTTCTGGTCTAGTTGTAGAAAAAAAGCATTTTTCCTGGCTGTCTGTGAGCCTTGGGCACTGTCCTATGTAATACGTTGAGGTGCTTCTTTTCCTGGCCTTGAATAGTTTCCCACACACATGCCCTGATGAGTACCCTGCAGATCACTCAAGAGGGACTGTCTTCCATATTGCAAGTGTTCTGTGTGCAGCTTTACCCTCTCAGGAACTCTGTTTTGCAAACTCTAGCTGCCTCAGTCTCCATGGAGTCCACTCCATTTCCTCTATTTGGGAAATCTGTTGGACTTTGCCTGGGTTTCCCCTAACAAGGCCACATTCTGGGAGCTCCAAGTTTGTATTCTGTCTCTTTTTGCTGATTTAGTATTTTTTTAAACAACTTTTTTTAAAAAAAAGATTTTTATTTATTTGAAAGTCAGAGTTACACAGAGAGAGGAGAGGCAGAGAGAGAGAGAGAGAGAGAGAGAGAGAGAGACAGAGAGAGGTCTTCCATCTGATGGTTCACTTCCCAATTGGCCGCAACAGCTGGAGCCACTCTGATCCAAAGCCAGGAGCCAGGAGCCAGGAGCTTCTTCTGGGTCTCCCATGCGGGAGCCTAAGGACTTGGGCCATCTTCTACTGTTTTCCCAGGCCAAGCAGAGAGCTGGATCGGAAGAAGAGCACCTGGGGCACAAACTGGCGCCCATATGGGATGCCGGCCCTTTTGGCCAGGGCGTTAGCCTGATGCGCCACAGTGTGCTGGCCCAATATTTAGTATTGTGAGAAAAGTTCTTTCATGTATTGTATCTGGGTTTTGGTTACTTTAGATAAGAGGGTAAATCTGGTCCCTGTAAACTCCATCATTACTAGAATCAGAAAACTCTTTCCTGTAATATTTTAATTTGGCTTGTGGATAAATTGTTGCATAACTTTCAACTCTGAGATATTATTTATCTCAAAGTAGTGGAGCAATAGATAACTGTTTCCTTGTTGCAGTAAATTGTATTTATTCGTGGTATGTTTTTAGTAAATTGAACATCAATTTATTCATCAACCTTATCAACTTCAAACCATTGACCATGATGTGCCAGATCATATTATAAAGAACTCAGAACATAAAGAAAATTATACAAGTATTCTTAAAGTAGAAAAATACACATTTTCCTCTTTGTATAAAAGTACACATGAATAACTTCATAACAGAAGCACTTAAAATATGAAATGCAGTTTCCTGAGTGTTTCTCTTTGTGTGTTTTACTAAGTCCTGCTCATCCCTTAGGACTCAATTCAAATGCCATTTTCTATGGCAGTCTTGTCTTTTTTTTTTTTTTTTTTTGACAGGCAGAGTTAGACAATGAGAGAGAGAGAGAGAGAGAGAGAGACAGAGAGAAAGGTCTTCCTTTTTCCGTTGTTTCACCCCCCAAGTGGCTGCTACAGCTGATCTGAAACCAGGAGCCAGGTGCTTCCTCCTAGTCTCCCATGCAGGTGCAGGGCCCAAGGACCCGGGCCATCTTCCACTGCACTCCCAGGCCACAGCAGAGAGCTGGACTGGAAGAGGAGCAACCAGGACAGAACCGGTACCCCAACCGGGACTAGAACCCGGGGTGCTGGTGCTGCAGGCGGAGGATTAGCCTAGTGAGCCGCTGCGCCAGCAGCAGTCTTTTCTAATATGTGTGTGATACAGATATATGTATCCACTCATGCTCTGTGATAGAAGAAACAATATTTATCTTCTTGCTCACTGAATACCCAGAACCAAGTCTGGGGCCTGACACAATGTATATTCTCAATAAGTATTCGTAGAATCCATGAAAAAGTTAGATCACATAGTAAACAGTTAGCCTAGGATAGTGACTAGATTTATCCTCAGTACCTTGCTTCCCTGGGCTGTCTGTGATAAATTGCCAAACAAAAAGACACTGCGATTTTAAAAAGGTTTCAGCGTTGAACTAATCATCAAAAAAAGTTTAGTAAGATATCATACTAACATGGAGAAATAGATACTCATTATTTACTAATTTAAAGGCAAAACAACAGAGAGAAGAAGAGGGACAGACAGTTATCTTCCATCTGCTGCTTCACTCCTCAAATGCCTGCAACAGCTGGAGTTGGGCCAGGCTGAAACCAAGAGTCAGGAACTCCATCCAGATGTACCACCTAGATGGCACCACAACACCCACCCCATTCACTTTTTGAAGTGTAAACTGGTATGCATTTTCAGAGAGCCCTGTGGCAGTATCTGAGAAAAGTTTACAATGTATGTACATTTTCAGCAATTGTAGTTCTAGGGAATTTATACACAGTATATGCAGGACTATGCATTGTACTATATATTATATATGTATATTTTACATATTAATATCTTAACATAATTAATATATAATGGAATGCTATATTTTTTAAAATTAAGTTAATTTATATGCATAGAAACACAACAGGGGCCAGTGCTGTGACGCAGTGGGTTAATGCCCTGGCCTGAAGTGCCGCATCCCATATGGGCGCTGGTTCGAGACTCAGCTGCTCCACTTCCAATCCAGCTCTCTGGTATGGCCTGGGAAAGCAGTGGAAGATGGCCCAAGTCCTTGGGCCCCTGGACCCGTGTGGGAGGCCCAGAAGAGGCTCCTGGCTCCTGGCTCCTGGCTCTTGGCTTTGGATCAGCGCAGTTCCAGCCTTTGTGGCCAAATGGGGACTGAACTCTCGGATGAAGACTTCTCTCTCTCTCCTCTCTGTGTAAATCTGACTTTCAAATAAATAAAAATACATCTTAAAAAAAAAAAAACCCAACATTTGGCAAAATGTAAAGTCAAAAAAGCGACATTCAAGGGCAAGTGTTTGGTATAGCAGTTAAGATGGCCATATTCCATGTCAGAGTACCTGGATTTGATTGCTGGCTCTGCTCCTGAGTCCAGCTTCCTGCTAATGTGCACCTTGGGAGGCAGCAGAAGAATGCTCATGTAATTGGGTCCCTGGCACCCATTTGAGAGCCCTGTTTTGAGTTCCTGGCTCTTGGCTTTAGCCTGGCCCAGTCTCACCCACTGGAGGAATTTGCAGAGTGAACCAGCATATGGGAACTTTCAGTCTGTTTCACTTTCTCTCTCTCTCAAATAGGGACCAGATTTACTCTCTTACCTGAAATAATCTCAACTGAAATTTTAAACAGCAAGGTGCAAAATAGTATATTGATTTCTGGTCCTTCATCTACCAGCCCTGCTCTTCAGCTCAATATTTGCTAACCCTAACTGCTCTCCATGACAGCAACAGACAGTTTCTATCTGAAATGTCTCTAAAGAGTGTTTCTCAAGAATGTTTTCCCTCCAAGCAGTGGAACATAGCCCATAGCCCAAGTGTTTCGGACCCTGCACCCATGTGAGAGACCCAAATGAAGCTGCAGGCTCCTGACTTTGGCCTGCCCCAACCCTGGCTGTTGTGAATATCTAGGGAGTGAACCAGTGAGAGGAAGATCTGTCTCTCCTGTCTCTGTAACTTTTTTTTTTTTTTTTTTTGACAGGCAGAGTGGACAGTGAGAGATAAAGAGAGACAGAGAGAAAGGTCTTCCTTTGCCGTTGGTTCACCCTCCAATGGCCGCCGCTGCCAGCGCACTGGGCTGATCCAAAGGCAGGAGGCAGGTGCTTATTCTGGTCTCCCATGGGGTGCAGGGCCCAAGCACTTGGGCCATCCTCCACTGCCCTTCCTGGCCACAGCAGAGAGCTGGCTTGGAAGAGGGGCAACCGGGACTGAATCCGGTGCCCCGACCGGGACTAGAACCCGGTGTGCCGGCGCTGCAAGGCGGAGGATTAGCCTGTTGAGCCGCGGCGCTGGCCCTGTAACTTTCAAATAAATAAATGTCTAAAAAACAATTGGGGTTTACAATGCTCATTATGAAAGATTAAGTAAGATTCTCCAAACTTGGGGCTTCTCCTGTGATGCTGCCCAATACATCTACAGATCTTCTCTGGTACAATTTTTGCTGCAGCTTATGAGATTTGGGTCTAAGGGGCAATCAATTCTCTGGCTGTTACCATTACTGTATACAATAAGCTGTCCTGTCTTTGACGTAGGAGTCTTTTGTATGCCTTCATGACACTGTGGCAGACTAACCTTCAAGCTTGATAATAAGGTTACATCTCAGACCCTTCATAAATGACAGCTTCAGCATAGACCAAATGCCATACCAAAGGACATGGGATCTGGCACCATCAGCAGCTTCTGAACCAGATGGCACAGTTTTGAAGGCCAGGTAGTTATCTTCCCTTCAGCAAACTGTGACAAGTAAATCATTCTTACTGTGTCCATATGTCCTGTTCTTAGGGTGTTTCCATTCTCACTAGATGTACTCCATGTAGCCCAGTGATGAATGTTTGTGAAGTGGTATCTGACTTAGAAACAAGTAACTTTGTATTTTGTCCATTCTTCCATGTTTTATAATCTACAAAATCATACTTTTTCTTAAGTCATCAGAACTGACATTGCAAGATAATTCAGTAAGATGAATTCTAAAAAGGACGTTACTCCAAGGCAAGATGGGACATAGGAACTCTTTCACATAAAACAAAGCATGAGAAATGACTGCCTTGTAAGATGCAAAAAAATCAACCAAAAGTTTATATTCTTGGCAATTATGTATTGGTGTTTCAGTTTGGAATAGTGGCAGGTTCTAGGCACAGATATTTGTACTTACTAATACATTTTTTAAAAGAAATCTCTATTTTTATTTTGACAGGAAGAGTTAGTGAGAGACAGAAAGAAAGGTCTTCCTTCCGTTGGTTCACCCCCTAAATGGCCGCTACTGCTGGCGCTGTGCCAATTTGAAGCCAGGAGCCAGGTGCTTCCTCCTGGTCTCCCATGTGGATGCAGGGCCCAACCACTTGGGCCATTTTCCACTGCCCTACTGGGCCACAGCAGAGAGCTGGACTGGAAGAGGAGCAACAAGGACAGAACTGGCGCCCCAACCGGGACTAGAACCCAGGGTACCGGCGCCACAGGTGGAGGACTAGCTAAGTGAGCTGTGGCGCCAGTTACACAGAGAGGGAAGGAGAGGCAGAGATAGAGGTCTTCTATCCGCTGGGTCACTCCCCAGTTGGCCAAAATGGCTGGAGCTGTGCTGATTTGAAGCCAGGAGCTTTTTCCGAGTCTCCTATAAGAGTGCAGGGGCCCAAGTACTTGGGCCATCTTCTACTACTTTCCCAGGCCATAGCAGAGAGCTGGATGAGAAGTGGAGCAGCCAGGACTGGAACCAGCACCCAAGTGGGGTGCTGGCACCGCAGGCAGTGGCTTTATCCACCACACCACAGCGCCGGCCCCACTAATAAAACTTTTATAATGGCATCTTGATTAATGTACTTTCATTCTGGGGCCAGTGCCATGGTGCAGCAGGTTAATCCTCTGCCTGAGACACTGACATCCCAAATGGGCACCAGTTCTAGTCCCGGCTGCTCCTCTTCCAATCTGCCTCTCTGCTGTGGCCTGGGAAAGCAGTATTAGATGGCCCAAGTGCTTGGGCCCCTGCATCCTCATGGGAGACCGGGAAGAAGCACCTGACTCCTGGCTTCAGATCGGCGCAGCTCCAATCATTGTGGCCATTTGGGGAGTGAACCAAGGAAGGAAGACCTTTCTCTGTCTCTTCCTTTCACAGTCTGTAACTGAACCTCTCAAATAAATAAAATAAAATGTACTTTCATTCCATGGGGTAAACCATGAGACAGAAAGGTCTTCCTTTTTCTGTTGTTTCACCCCTCCCCAGTGGCTGCTACGGCCGGCACGCTGCGCTGATCCGAAGCCAGAAGCCAGGTGTTTCCTCCTGGTCTCTCATGCGGGTCCAGGGCCCAAGGACCTGGGCCATCCTCCACTGCACTCCCGGGCCATAGCAGAGAGCTGGACTGGAAGAGGAGCAATCGGGACAGAACCGGTGCCCCAACCAGGACTAGAACTTGGGATGCCGGTGCCGCAGACAGAGGATTATTCTAGTGAGCCACAGTGCTGGCCTAAAATTTTAATTTATGAATATTACACATAAAGCAGTTAAGATACATAAATGCGAGACTGTCACTTATTAACCAAGCCTGATGCTCTCCATCAACTGAAAGTTTTATTTCCAATTTCTAAGGAACATTTGTATTTCATCAAGTCTTCAAGTCGTTTATTTCAGAAGCAGAGAATACAGAACTTCACCCACTGGTTGACTCCCCAGATGCTCACAACAGCTGGGGCTTCAGTCAGGAGCCAGGAACACAATCCATGTCTTCTCTATGGATGGGAGGGTCCCAATTTTCTGGGCCATCACTGCTTCCTACTAGAGTCTGCATTGGCAGGGAGCTAGAGTAAGGATCAAGAGCCAGGAATCATACCCAGGTGCTCTGATGCAGGTGTCTAAACCCCAAAGCTAATTGCTCACTCTCCAGATTTTATTTTTTTATTTTCTTTTAATTTTTTGCAGGCAGAGTGGACAGTGAGAGAGATTGAAAGAGAGAAAGGTCTTCCTTTGCCATTGGTTCACCCTCCAGTGGCCGGTGCGGCCAGCGCGCTGCAGCCGGAGCACCGCGCTGATCCCAAGCCAGGAGCCAGGTGCTTATCCTGGTCTCCCATGCGGTGCAGGGCCCAAGCACTTGGGCCATCCTCCACTGCACTCCAAGGCCACAGCAGAGAGCTGGCCTGGAAGAGGGGCAACCGGGACAGAATCCGGCGCCCCGACCGGGACTAGAACCTGGTGTGCCGGCGCTGCAAGGTGGAGGATTAGCCTATTGAGCTGCGGCGCTGGCCCACATTTTATTTTAAATACCAATTGTAGTCTCCAACTTTAAGGATACCTATATTCAGTGATTATAGCTCGTTTGATTCTCTGCAACTCTGTATCTTGTTTCTGTTTCTTCATGTATTACTATAAAACACTTTATCTTTTCTGATTTCACAGTTGGCAGGTCTATGATTAGCTGAGAAATGGTGAAATCTATTTTACTGTTTGGTAGCACTTGGAAAGGTTTTTCATTAATGAAAATGAAAACCATAAACATTTACCAAATATTCACGCCCCATTGTTACCAATGGATTGGTTGCCTCGATTTAGGAATGTTGGTGTAATTTAAACATTTGAAAAATGCCATTTTAATGCAATTAAATCTGTTTATTGTGAGAAGATATTTTAACACTAGGGTCTGATGAATCACTTTCTCTTAGGGAGAATTTTTTAAAAATCCCCTAAGTTGTATAAAAGTTGTACTGCAGGGCCAATATTGTGGTGCAGCATGTTAAGCTGCCACTTGTGGTCCCAGTATTTCATTTCAGAATGCTGTTTTGGGACCTGGCTACTGTGCTTCTTACCCAGCTCCCTGCCAATGCACCTGAGAAAGCAGTGTATGATGACCTCAGTATTTGGACCCCTGCCAGCACGCATGTGGGCAACCTGGATGAATTTCAGACTCATGGGAAACAGCAAATGAAGGATTGCCTCTCCATCTCTTTCTCACACTCTGCCTTTCAAATAAATGTCTTAAAAAACTGTTACTCTATCTTATTTACTGGATAAAATTAAAATACAGTATTGTAGAAAGCTAATACAAAGCTATCCTGTGCCTTTAAATAGTACAGAAAATTCACTTTTTAAAGAAGATGGGTTAAAAGTATGAGAATGGAAAAGGAAATATGAGTGCTTGCAAGTACTGGGTAAACGCCAAACAAGAACAGTCTGTAACAGTATTCTACCAATATCAATTTCAAAGTTTCAGTCATTGTATTATGATTATTTTAATGTTATCTTAAGGGACACTGGGTGAGGATATCCAGAAACGATGTATCACTTGTGCACTATGCCATGTCTTCTGCCAAAATCTATGAAACCATACCAAGCTAACTTATTAGCTTATAAATACGGTAAAGTAAAAATCCCAGACTCAACAATTTTGTTGACAAGGATAGGATGTTGTTGACTATGGCTTTCTGGATTAGGAAGGACAAAGCCTTGCAGGGCACATCAGGAATTTATCTCCCTAGGATCCAGTAGTAAATATTTTGTCCAGCTGGTACAAGAGGCAGGACAGTTCTGAGTCTCAACTTTCTGTTAGTGACGCAGAGTGCCTACAAGTAAGATTGAAGTCACTCAGAGAAATGCGTTGTTGGCCAATTCTGTCATTGTGTTAACATCAGAGTGTACTTACACAAAGGTGTCCATGGTGTCGTCAGGTATTATGGGACCACTATCACGTGTGGTCTATCCCAACTGAGATGTTGTTAGGTGATACATGACCACACCTTGATTACTGCTTATTCTCTTCCAGGAAGCAGATGAGATGTTCTAACAGCAAAAGAGCAGCAAGTTCCATAGCCCCAGCAGAAAGGCAGGATGGCTGTAGCTGCTGAGTCTCCCAAGCTGAAATTAAAGTTACCAGTATTGAGGAATTTGGGTGGCCTGAAAACAGAAGTTCATTTGGCTAAATTGACAGTGGGTGGCCACTCTGAAAGAAAAGCCTTGCCTGATAGTGCAAAGCCAAACACCTGGCTTCTGCCATAGTACAACTTGGCTAGCAACAAGAATGAGGTTTTGGGTGCCAGGGTGGCCAAAGTGCAATACTGCTGAGCAGAGTTCAGTACATGTGCATAGATTGAAAGCAAGGCATCCTAGATGCTGGAGCTAGATGGGGAGAAGTAGCAGCAGTACAAAACCAATTTCTTCCTGCATCACCTTTTCTCACTGTCCCACGCAGTGCTACCTGGCATTCCAGCTGGGGTGGGAGGGGTGGGGGGAGACTTGATTTGGCCTCTTAGCAGCTGTGCCATATCACCTTTAAACAAGTATAACTGCCTGTAGGAAAAAGGGCACTATACTTCAAATGATAAACTTTGGATAGAGCTTGGAGCAGGGAAAGGAAACAAATCGTCAGTTCATAAATGCTGAGTTGGAACAGTGAATTAAAACAAGAAGCCAAAATAAAATGTCAAGGCTCCTGTGGCTTTGTAGGCCAGGGATGAGGGGAGGGAGGAAAAAAATGTATTTTCAGGTCCCAACCTCTCTGTCCCTGAGCAGGTCTTAGCAGAGACACCTGAGGAAGGTTTCTACCTAAGGCCCCAATAGAGGCCAACAATAAAGGAGGCACAGGGGCTAAGTATGCCAGTAATATTTAAGAGCTATGACTGGTGGTGAAGAAAGTCCTGAGCACAAGTCCCTTTGGAGATTTCAATATATTGGCTATGCACCAAGTGAAATGTGAGGAAGGCAGCTCTCTGTGGGGCCTGCTGGTAAGCCTATGTAATCACCTATGTTTGTGGTGATTTTCACGAGGAACAGAATACTTTAAAAAAAAAAAAAAAACCTGTCACCAGGGTTCTTTGCACCAATAGGAAAAATACAGAATCCTAGGGAAAGAAAGAAACCATAGCTCTAAAGACCGAATGCCTACCTGAGTACTCAAAAGAGGCCAGGGTCCATTACTACAGTAGCACCAAATGGCTGACCAGCTAAGTACACTCTTGTATGGTTTTACAAAATAAGTCACCCACTAACCTGCAACTAAGCTAAAACTGAACGTGTGATTCACAGAGGCTTTTCTTGTGACTCTTTGGCTTGACATCTGGCATTCTGGAATGGGTCACTGTGGACTTGATGGCTAACAAGCTGAAGAGAGCCCAACACACCTGCCAGGCAAGCAGAAATAGTATTTTTAGTGAAGGGACTTATTAGCATTTTGTTGTCACATGAAAAAGTGGCGGCTATGCCTTTAGGGGTAAACTTTATGGCCAACTCTACTGCCTGAAGCAGAGCCACTGATTTAATGGAGCCTTGACTCAGAGGCCTACCTCCTTGATTGTTTGGCAGATGAAACCAAAGGAATTGAATGAGCTGTTGCTGCTGCTTGGCTTCAATGCCAGCAGCACAGAATCAGCAGCAGATGTAGTTTCTCCTCAGAAGAGAGACCTCAACAGTGCTTATGACCCTGGCTAGGACTTTCCTTGATGAACCTTACTGTGTTTATTAACTTAGGACTCTTGACCGACAGATTAAAGATAGCCCTCTTGGCCATTAAACTTAAAGAAATTGTTCAACTTGCCAAAATATTTTTAAAATATTAGAAATAAAGATTTCCTTACATTGACAAAAATAAAGTGCAGCAATATATACAGTATTGGCCAAAGAATGGATGCAAAATTAAACACTGTTGTTGACATGTAAATTCGTTCAGTCTTTTTGAAAGACAACTTAACTGAAAATGAAAATATAAGGATTTTGAAATCCATGCACAAGAGGGGTCTTCAAAAAATTTATGGAAATTGCACATGATCAAAAAATTACTCATGGGAAGCTGGCGCTGTGACACAGCGGGTTAACACCCTGGCCTGAAGTGCCAGCATCCCATATGTGCGCCAGTTCGAGACCCAGATGCTCCACTTCCAATCCAGCTCTCAGCTATGGCCTGGGAAAGCAGTATAAGATGGCCCAAGGCCTTGGACTCCTGCACCCAAATGGGAGACCTGGAAGAAACTCCTAGCTCCTGGCTCCAGATTGGCACAGCTCCAGCTGTTGCAGCCAGTTGGGGAGTGAACCAGCAGATGGAAGACCTCTCTCTCTCTCTCTGCCTCCTCTCTCTGTAACTCTGACTTTCAAATAAATAAATAAAACTCTTTAAAAAAAAATTACTCATGGGTTTCAAAATGTTTCTGTTTTTCCATGAACTTGTTCAAGTATCTTCATATGTAAGAGGCATGCATTAACATGTTTGTAAAAGTGAAGATAATCTTCCATTAAACTTTATTTGTGCCTTCTGATTACCTACTATTATATTTTCTCACAGTTCCCATCAAACTTCTAGACTAGACACACACACCCCTGCCCTTTTTATTGTTTTTTAAATATTTTTCCCCCGGACTGTACTGAAAACATTTTCAAAGGACTAGCATAACACAAAAACTAATGTCCTATTACCAATCTTCATCTTTTCCTATCACTATACAGCAGTCAACACAGATTGAAATTACATTTAATTGTCTATCATGTGCCTTTATTCACACACATGTGAGGGTAATTCAAACTGAGAAAATGGCATTAAAAGTTTATTTTGGTGCAAAGTTTTGAATCTATGCATAATTTTTTTATTATATGCATTTCTACAAATTTTATGAAGTCCTTTGTTTATGTAAAAGTTCATATGATCAGCCTCAAAACCCTTTGAAATAGGTAGTATTGATCTTATCCTACAATTGAAGACATAAGCTCCAAGTGGTTTGTCTGAGGTGATGAACCATGCTTATCCTACTATGGCTGGTGCTGGGACTCCTTTCTACTGTTTTCCTTTATAGTTCTTGTTTCTATTATTTTACAAACTAAAGATCAAGATTAATCTTTTTTCCATTAGTGTACTCCAATCTCATTACAGTGAACTTGAATGAAACAAAGTGAAAATAGTTAGTATAAAGCCTGGCATACTCAAAGGAAAAATATTCTTATTACTCACTTTCTAGAAGTATACAAAAAATAGGCCAGACAAAGGATTCAAAGTGTATGTGCTCCATCAATTAAAATTTCCACATCTGTAAGTTATAACTAACTGAGATGGAAACAACCAAGCAAATATAGTTTCATAGCAATTGGCAGACTTTAATATTCAAGAAGAATTAAATCCATCGTACACATTAAAAATACAGGAAATTTCATGCAGACATGAAGCTTCCAATTCAGCCTTTGTGGCAACTTTTTGAATTAGTTACATATAAATACAGTACACTTTACAGTTCCCAAACTTCATAATTTTTATCCTGTGATTTATTTGTAGGGCTTCTCTTTATGTTGTGTGTGTGTATATATATATATATGTACACATATATATACACCATCTTGTCCACTTGATTAGCGTATCTAAATATACATCATTTCAGAATAAAGAAAATGTTTTAAAAAAGCAAGCACAATAACCTATCTCCTCCCACTTTATGAAAATTGAAGCTTTTGTGTGTAAAGTTAATTTAAGGGAAAAAAACTTTTAAGGCTCACACACTTTAGTAGCTAGGATTAAACATAAGAAATGAAAATTTAAATAAATCCTCCAGTGACACTTCTAATATTGACTGATTCTACCTTTTCAAGTTTAGAATATATAAACTGAAAAAGCTGTAAGAAAAAGAGATGCAAATTTATGTAGAACATTTTAAAAATATTCATGTGAGAAATTAAAAGCAAATCAATGATTTCAGAATTAACTAAAATATTATATAATTTAGAAGTGTAAGTAACACTGTTAAAAAAATCACCTGATAGCAAAACAATTTTAATTAATAAAACCAACCCACCAGTGCCAACTTGTTTTTCCTATGTGAGAAAAACAAAGATCATCTGTTTTGATACAGTTGTAAAAAACAAATAGTAGCCAATGAATAAAAAGCACTTCTAAATCACTCAAAAACAGCGTGCAATCCTTTACATTCAATGGATGTTTTTTAAAACTTTGTTTCTTTTATGATTTAAGAGAAAAAGATTTTCCCTTAATTTCAAGTTCATTCATACAGGTAATGAGAATTCACACCAAACATCTGCCACGTACTGAGGGACACATAAATGAGAAATAGTTTTAAAAATTCCCTAATTCAACAAGTCATATGGAACCCTGTTGTGCATGGTAGGAGTGAGGATCATAAAACTTCCCTCACTATATGCAGACACAGGTCCCCACCCCCACTAGTAAGATGCCACCTCCAATAGTAACTCCCTATCCTAAGTGACAACAAAGCTGTAAAGATTTACAAGTAAGTTTTCTTATTAAAACATGACAATTATGCTACAAGCACATTATTAAGTCCATCTAATCCAAATTGCCACAGAGGTTCTTTAAAGCAATCACAATAATCTGTGAAAATATTCAAGAAAAATTATTCCTTTCCTCCAAGAAAAGGTTAAAACATGAGTCATCTCTACTTTTCAAGCTACCGGAAACGGAATAATGAACATTTAAAAATAATAATAAAAAGGAAAATTCCCTCCAATAAAGATCTGCTAGAGGTAGAAATTTAAAGCAGCATACACTGTTTAAGCTCCATCAATCAGGGAACAAAATGGTGTTAATCTAAAATTACCTTAATGTCTGCTGCTTACAATATTGAAGACACAGACCATGGATTGTAATTTATCCCTGAATTTCATATTCAAAATTTCCTTACATTAATACCATTATGATAGTTTTTATTAGTATATAATTGTTTTAACAAAAAAGTGCTTGTTTTCATAATCCAGATAATCTAAAGACATTATTGTAAACATCACACTGACAAACTCTGTATTCATTTAGTTTGAAACTATATATTTCAAATGGGCAGATTTTATTCTTATTTTCTCAGCTTCCTAATACTACCTTTAAAAAAGCTTCTGTGCCTCATTTATAATATTGAGATCTCATACATTTCAAAGTGATCCATGATGAGTATGTGTTCAACAAGTGTTCAGTTTAGTGTGGCTAAAAGACAATTTCTCAGTTACCTGAATGCAGTTTACTGACTTGTGATGCTATTAAATTTAGCATCTCATGAAAATGCCATTTTTTATGCTTCTCTAAGTTCAACTAAGCTAGTAAAAATAATTTGAATGATAAAAGAATCACATCTTTTATGTATAGATTGCTTAGGTCCAAATGAATAGAAGTCCCAATAACAGATGCTGAATGTGACAGAAAGATCTTTAGACTCTGCCAAAATAACTCCAATGCAAACACACACACACACCAAAGAGAGAGAGAGAGAGAGAGAGCGAGAGAGATATTATTATGTAGACTTCAATACGATCAGTCAACAAGATGGCAGACTTGCAATGGATATAGCTTCAAGAAGACACTGGAGATTAGAATTTTTCCACTCAAAGACCTGAACTTCAAGGAAAGTATACTTGAAGACATTTCCTCCATATTACTTATGTAGTACAAATCTGCATGGCATAGTATATTTCTGAAAAAGCAATAGACATATTAAGAAAATAGACACTATTTCTAAATTTTGTTAGGAATAAGAAGGCACCACTGATTTGAGGTTTTGTCCTGTCATCACTGATAGTTGATTTTGAGTTGTTTATTTCAGCCTTTTCTTATTAGACTTTTTTCTGAGTAATGTAACTTAAGACCATTATTGCGGCTTACGGACCACAAACAAGACACATTCATAGTAGTATTTCATCATAGATAGATCATTCACAGTATACGTTGACAAGACAGATTCTTTTTCCACCTGCAATGCAAACAATAATGATCATGATGACAATGATGATAACACCACCAACACACTGAGCACTTAAGTAGTAGGCACCATTTCAAGTATATCCACTTATTCCATACAACTATCCCCATAACACTGCTATTTGAGAATCCCTCTTTACAAAGGACAGGTTATATAAGTTGTTTTGTCATACCAATAATATGTGGTAGAACTGGGATTCAAACTAAAGAAGTCTAACTGTTGAGCCTGAACTCAACAGTTTTGCTTTATTCCTCAAAGCTGAAACACATAGCCAATGTATCATAAAAACTTCCTCTAATGCACCTGATTAAAAAAAATAAGCAGAAGAGGACATAGAACAATATTCCTTCTACATTTGCCCTCCCATACCTATGTTTCTCCAGATCCTAGTTTACTTGGTATCTATCAGTGAGACTCTATAAAAGCCAATATTACAAGCATCAATTATTATTTACTGAAATGCTATTTCACCAGGGATGATAGTTTCCCTTTTACATACACATTATAATTCTAGACCAAGAATATCCTTACTTAATGGTTGAGAAAAGAAAAAGGTTAAGAAAGATCAGTAGCTGCCATGATATTTATTACTCATACAATTTTTAAGTTAAAACTCTGGTAATACTTCATTCCATCCTTACCTCTACTTGGAATCCATATTGCAGAACGACATTCTTTATATCCTCATAGCTCAATTCTATGGAAAGTTCATTTGCCAAATTTTCAAAGTGGTACAAAAGAGGCCCTGTGGTTTAAACATACTGGGAATGAATTGCTTGAATATGAGCATGCACTAATAGCCACGTTAGACTGAACTCCAAACTGAATAATAAATTGGGTAGTAGATGAGACAAAAAAGAAATAAAGAACTTTTAAATTGCTGAGGACACTCATCCAGACCTCTGAAACTTTAGCCCAATAAGTGAAATTTGGGAGCTGAGTTTACACTTGGAGCAAGGCCCTCTGGTACAGCTGGCCTTGCACTATGATTGTTCAAATCACGGACCTTCACCTGGGACTCTTTGGTTACTGAAGGAGTAGTACTGAAGGGTTCAGGAATGCTGAATCCCCAAATTCCAAACTACGAGTGATCTTCAAAAAGCTCATAGAAAATTTGTAAATTCATAGTATGAATAAACTATGTATGGATTTCAAGATTTTTGGTAACAAAATTAAATGGTACTGACTTAGCACATGTGACATGCATTCTGCCAAAACAGGAACAAGAACAAACATGCTAATTATGGCAAAACTTGAAGCAAAGAAGGTGATATCACTTTTATAAAAAGTTTACAGGGTCAATGACTCAAAGAAGTCAGCGGTATAAACATGGATCCCTCATGAAGTTTCTTCTTTATGTCATAAAAACATTCTAAAATTGATTGTGGTGATAGCTGCACAACTCTGAACATAAAAACCACTGGATTTCACACATTAAGAGTGAATGTATGGGGCCGGCACTGTGGCATAGTGATTAGAACCGCTGCCTGCAGTGCAAGCATCTCATATGGGTGCCGGTTTGAGTACCTGCTGCCCCACTTCTAATCCAGCTCTCTGCTATGGCCTGGGAAAGCAGTACAAGATGGCCCAAGTGTTTGGGCCCCTGCACCCACGTGGAAGACCTGGAAGAAGCTCCTGTCTCCTGGCTTTGGATTGGTGCAGCTCTGAACTTTGCAACCATCTAGGGAGTGAACCAGTGGATGGAAGACCACTTTGCTCTCTCTGCCTCTCTGTAACTCTGCCTTTCAAATAAATAAATGAATAAATCTTTTATAGAAGTCTATATGGGGCTCGTGATGTGGCACAGCGGGTAAAGCTGCCACCTGCAGTGCTGGCATCCCATATGGGTGCCGGTTTGAGTCTCGGCTACTTCACTTCCTATCCAGCTCTCTGCTATGGCCTGAGAGAAGTGGAAGATGGCTCAAGTCCTTGGGCCCCTGCACCCATGTTGGGGACCTGGAGGAAGCTCCTGGCTTCGGATTGGCACAGTTGCAACCGTTGCGGCCAATTGGGGAGTGAACCAGTGGATGGAAGACCTCTTTCTCTGCCTCTCTTTCTCTGTGTAACACTAACTTTCAAGTAAGATAAATAAATCTTTAAAAAAAAAAATCTATAGACACAGACAAATACCTATATTTCCTACCCTTGTCTGCTGAAGAGGCCTAGAAGCAACATTACTCCAGTGGAAGAACAAGATTTTCATTTCTATATTTTCATTCCCAACTAAAAGGAACCAGGGATCTTTGGAATACCTGGTTTATTTCAGGGCTAGAAAGACAAGGTACAATATATGGTTGTGTCAGAAAGGAGGCATCAAATAGTGATGGGGATATATCAAAAGGAAAACAGCCAGCTTTAACAGGTTTCACTTGATAAGTATGGGACAAGTTGATGTAAACTATTTATATCCATAAGGCTCTAAAAGTTCTAGTTAAGACAGACTGTTAGACTTGATAATGAAACAAAATTTCACTGTATGCAGTGAACAAATCTTGGCTGGCGCCGCGGCTCACTAGGCTAATCCTCCACCTAGCGGCGCCGGCACAGGGGGTTCTATTCCCGGTCGGGGCGCCGGATTCTGTCTGGTTGCCCCTCTTCCAGGCCAGCTCTCTGCTGCGGCCAGGGAGTGCAGTGGAAGATGCCCTGCACCTGCATGGGAGACCAGGAGAAGCACCTGGCTCCTGGCTTGGGATCAGCGCGGTGCGCCGGCCGCAGCCGTGGCGGCCATTGGAGGGTGAACCAACGGCAAAAGGAAGAGCTTTCTGTCTCTCTCTCTCTCTCTCACTGTCCACTCTGCCTGTCAAAAAAAAAAAAAAAAAATCTAAAATATGAAAACAAAGGTACAGAAAAGACTTAAGGGATAGAAGAGCATTTACTATATAATTACTAAGTAAATAGAGCTCATGTAGCTATATGGACTTGCACACTCCAAGATAGAAGCATGGCTTGCATGTATGCAAAGCAAAGAGCTGGAAATCAAAATCCAGCAAAAAAGTCTGAGATAAGGTAGGAAAGGGTGGGGGTTGGGGGTAGACTAGTGGTCACTGGTCATTTTCCAGTCATCTTGCTTTCTGTCTTCATTTCACCCTAATACTCCATGAAGTCATACTTTTTTTTTTTTCTGTTTATGAAATTATCTACCCCTTTTTTTTTTAAAAAATTCTTTTGTCCCTTGATGATATTCTTGCCATTCTTTGCCAGTATATTTTATATCTTTTTAAAGTTTTACTATCACTGTCTTGAGGTCTCAATGAGAGGAAATAACATGTTCATCTTCCACCTTTTATAGGAAATGTCTCATGTTTTCAAAAATTCTATAATTTATAAATTTTATATTTATAAATTTTTTGTAAAGATTTATTTATTTGAAAGTCAGAGTTAAAGAGGTAGAGAGGTAGAGAGAGAGAGAGAGAGTCTTCCATCCACTGGTTCACTCCCCAGATGGCCGCAACAGCTGGAGCCACTCCAATCTGAAACCAGGAGCCAGGAGCTTCTTCTGGGTCTCCCACATGGGTGCAGGGGCCCAAGGACTTGGGCCATCTTCCACTGCTATCCCAGGCCATAGCAGAAAGCTGGATTGGAAGAGGAGCAGCTGGGACTAGAACCAGCGCCCATATGGGATGCCGGTGCTTCAGGCCAGGGTGTTAAACCATTTTGTCATAGCACTGGCCCCAATTTTATAATGTTTTAAAATCTGATGGAGCCCACTGTTCAGTATGTTTTACAAAGATCTCCTTTTGTACTTTAATCCATTAATTCTTCCAGATGTTGGTTATGTTTACTTTGCAAATTGCATATCCTTCATTATCTCACTGGAAATGTGCATGTACTCTCTCACTTTAAAAGACATTATAAATGAAATGTATTTAAGGGGGGTACTGGTAATCAAGAAAAACAGGATTCCCAGGCATCCATGTACCCAAGATACATATGTATAACAGTTTCCTTGAAAAGCTCACAAATATTTTCTATTTAGAGTAATAAATAGTACCTCAAGTTCCTCTTAATTAAAGCATTTTTAAGTTAATAAGCCCTGCTACTCTAATTTCATCTAATTTGTGAAACATTTTCATTAGTTTTAATTCCAGTGCTATTTATGAGTATTCCAGAATGGCTAGCCATTACATTTCTCATTTATATTGATAATCTAGCCTGTATAAGCATGGTTAGAATAACATCATCCCTGAAAGGCTGATACACTCATAGTTCACAGAGAAAATTAAGCCTTCATGTCCACATGGGTGCAGCCAAAACCAGAGGAATGTTATGAATTTACCAATACAGATGCTCCTTTATCATGTTTCTTGGCAGCCAATCTCCCTAAACATTTTATTCCTTTTTTAAAAATTTTCAAAGAGTAGTTTCATTCACACACAGAAGTCTGCTGTCTGCCAGGCTCTGTACCACATGAGTAGGAAGCATTAGATCCCTGCCCTCAGCAAGCTTAGAGATAAACAGGAGAAACAAAAACAAAAACATATGGGTGGCACACCTGGATGGACCTCTATTACAAAAGAAGGTCTGTTCCTTGGTGTTACTCAGATTAGAAGCAACTTCTTATAAGATAATTTCTGTTTCTGGGACCATTCATTCCCCTAATAATAATTTACAAATTCTCAAATTAGTCTACATTCCTCATTCTCTCTCTCCTCTAAATAAACAGTATGTAAGCTTCTGAATCATTTTGAGAAAGTAAGTAATCACATCACACTCCTGTGATTTTTTTTACACCTTTGCATAATAATAAATGTGCATTTCTCCTAACTAAAACTTTTCCTAAAAAATGAACATGAGGGGCTGGCACCCTGGCGCACCAACTTAATCCTGTCTGCGGGCACCGGCATCCCATATGGGTGCCAGGTTCTAGTCTCAGTTGCTCGTCTTCAGCCCAGCTCTCTGCTGTGGCCTGGGAGGGCAGTGGAGGATGGCCCAAGTGCTTGGGCCCCTGCACCAGCGTGGGAAAACAGGAGGAAGCACCTGGCTCCTGGCTTCGGATTGGCGCAGCTCCACACAGCTCCGGCCGTTGAGGCCATTTGGGGTGAACCAAAGGAAGGAAGACCTTTCTCTCTGTCTCTCTCTCACTTCTGTAACTCTACATGCCAAATAAATAAATTAAAAAAAAATTTTAATAAAAAAAAGAGCATGAGTGGTAATACCACAAAGTGAGAAACACTTCAACAGATTCTGAGAACATAAAAGTGGAACATGCACTATTTAACCTAATCTGAAGGATCACCTAAGCTGAGTGTTAAAGAATACATCAGAAACAACAGTGAAAACAGAGGAGAAAGACAATGGGCTTTCTAATTCAGAAGATTGCATTTGAAGTCACAGAAGAGGTTGATTAAAAAATGTGAAGCTAAGACTTCAGATAGAAGGTCACAAAGGGCATTGTAAACAATGCTGAAGAATTTAAATGGTCAAGAAAGCTAGAATTTTATGCAGGAGTCTGACAGGAACAGATTTACATAGTGGAAAGAGCACTCTGGTGATAACATGTGGAACTGAAAGGGGCATGGAAGGTTGTAGACAATTCCAAGACAGGGACACCCTGTTAAGGAAACTACTGTAATGATTCTAATCCAGGTAAGCACTGATTAAGTTAGATCAGTAGTTCTCAACTGAAGGCATTTTTGCCCATCCCAAGGGACAGGGTTCCAATGTCTAAAAATATTGCTTAAAGATTATAATTTTAAAATTTTCATTATATTTGAAAGGCAGAGGACAGAGGTTAGGGGTAGGAGC